GATTCAAAAAGGCTTTCTGTCGCCTCGTTGAATCGACAGCTGTTACCCAGGATGATTATAAGACAAGATGCTATTATTCCTAGGACGAAGACGATATAAAACAGCTGCTAATTTTTTAGTGTCCGTTTCTCGGAGTCTTATCTGTTAAAAACAAAAAGAAGATAGATATTTAGAATTAATTAAATATTCCCATCGATAATGTTGCACGATACGCATTATCATGCGCGACTTATTTTAATAGAGAAATCCATTTGATAGACAAAAAGACGGTTGCGGTATAAGCAAAACAAATTTTATAGGACTTATATGTTTGACAGCTAATTTTTATTCAGAATGAAAATGAACTACAAGGCAGGTGCGCCTTGGTCCCGTTGAAGGTCAAACTATTACATTAAAGGCACTCTGTACCTTAGTCCGTCTATTTTTGTCTTTACTTTATACAAACGGCAAACAAGATCTCTCTCAGAGATGTTTTCACGATATCTTAGAAACAATAATCATACGTGCGGATATTCAACGCTGAATGATTTAGTTTTCGTACAGAGACCGCGGCTAAAGTCAGTTTATTCTCCCATCCATCCGACTCAGTAGCGACTTTTTACATTGACTTTAGACAGCCTCAAACAGTTCTCTTTTTTTAAAGCTTTCCAGCGATCCGGTTTGGACGCTTTTCACCATACTATACACGATGGGCCATTGAAATTTATCATAAGCTCGATAGCGAATGGTCGACTCGCTATGGCAAGCAACTGGGCCATGGGCCACAAACTCCTGCCGATCTAACCAGAATCTCTTCGTCTCGTTTTCGCTTACCCCCGTCTGCGAAAACCTGTTCCGTTCCAGGAAAACACTTTCGTTCACCTCAGCCCATGCTTCGTACTCAGGGGCTGTATGGAACGTAGGCTGTTTGCTGTGCGCGATTGACTAAACGATGACCAGGTCGTCTCTGATGTTGTGCAAGGCGGAGCGTTGGAATCTAACGCCTTCTGATTGACTTTGTCGGGCCGTGACGAGTTTACTGCCGCTCACTTCCAGGTTGTATGCAAAGGTCCGCGTGTAAGTATTTGGGATCCAATCAGAACGAATGTTCGCTGCCACAGAAACTGACGGCAACGCGCTGAGAGATATATGTAGAGAAGGGTCGGCCTGGCCTGGCCTGGCCTGGCCTGGCCTGCTGCACACAGAAGATAGTAAGGTAAAAACGCGTTACCGTATGACTATCTGACCGTACGTCTGCTCATCGTATGCCGGATCTGAATTTGCAGGAACAGTCATCGATTGGCGCCGACGTCCACCACTGACCCCGTTCCCGAGCTCCAGTGCTGGCACTATGTGGCAGCTGAAATCGTTTGCAAACCAAGCAAGCTCACCCGTAAAAATGGGGCCCCTCATGCAAAAGTAAGGTTCCGACGTGGCTCCAGTCACGTCGAAATTGGCACCCATCGTTGCCAGAAAACCAAGGAGAATCTAAAAGTTAGACATAGAGATTCAGCCAGTGTAACCACCATAGATCGGGTCAGTTTGATTTGGAAATCGAAATGTGATCTAACCATCACATTTAGAAGGAAATTCGCAATGAATACAAAGCAATTTGTTAGTGTACTATGCATTTGTGTATGTCTTGTGAAATCGCCTTATGTAAAACCCATTTCCACATCAGACATTCTGCCAAAATTAGCTAGCTTTACAGACACGCTAGCGTTGGTCGCACTTTCGTCATCCTGTCTGCCCTGCCTGAATTCTTAGGAGTCTATTGTCTCACCCTATTTTCGGTTATTGCTCGTCGTTTTGCAGCGTGCTGATTTTTCTTTATTTCCGAAATTAGAAACACATCAATATGGGATGGTTTACGTTTGCATTTCTAACTATTGCCGGTTCTGCCACAAATCGTTTCTCCTTTTTTTTTCCAGTGTTGCGTCTACCTCAATATTCTTCCTTTAACGCTCAAGCATTTATGTCTGGGCCACAGGACCCTGTCCTTAATCGCATACCGCACTCAAGATGCGCATTCAATGAAACGCAAAACTCTGGAAATCGAGGCTTGGATGCCGAGGCAAAACCCAACCTTTTAACTGCGAACTTTTTTGCTATCGCTAAAAATTCCCGCTTGAAAGCGGAAAAAAGTCTTTTGCGTTTCTTCCTTTCTACCAGACGGAAGACTCAACCAGCCCTTGAGTAGAGTACCTCACGAGGCTGCCACGTAAGAGACATGTAAGAGGCCTTGTGAAGTTACAGCGTACAAACACGGGTGACTGTGAGGAGACTTGAGGAAATTATGAAACCGTATGAGAAATAGCCCGCAGAAAGAAGGCCAGGTCGACCGTGCCAAGGTCGAAAGACAAGCGTCAATCGAGTTCGCAATATGTCTATGCTTTCTCTGGAACTGAGAGACAGGTTTAAGTTAAACAGCCAAGTCACCTTTGTCTGTTTACCATTTCGCCCATCTGACGATCGGCCAATTTCGCAAGCAAACAAAGCTGCAAACCTTCTGTGGGCTTGCGAACGAGATGGCCGCTTTCAGCGTGTTTTCCCTCAACGAATAAAAGGAAACGCTGGCAAGCCTGCTGATCCTGCGGGTCTACTTTTTCCTCTCTCATAGTTCCTTCAGCGCTCATTCCTGCTTTTTCTCGCGAAGCTAGCAACTTCTTTTACTCTTTGTCATTATCCTTTTTTCTTTTCGCGCGGGTGGTCCTATTTCTGGAGCCCGTCCTTATCGCCGCCTTCGTAGGCGTACGGTCGATGCAGGCAGCCAACAGAGCTTCCACGTGTTGGAAAGATCACATTCTGGAGAGAAACGAGGGAAAAATGAGTGCAGGTAAACAGCCGACTCGGACGCAGTAGGAGAACGAAAGGGAGCACGAGAAAATAAGGAGACTAGAGAATAGAAAGACGAGGCTAGGAGTGGAGTTGCTATAGTCAGTCAGCCAGCCAGTTAGCCTGTCTGCCGTTGCGTTGCTATGCTATTCTACACAAACTAAAAGCGACCGCCGCTGCAAGAAATTGAAATAAATGGATTTTCTCTTTTAGCCCGTTCGCCGCCAGCCTTTGCAGGCACAACCGCTACCATAGTCTATTTTCGGCCAGGCTGTCCGGATGACGCGAGTGGTTTACACTACACAGCTGAGTTATCACTGCTGGTCCATTGCCAGGCCCGCTTATGAACTAGGGCCATGGCTCCGAGCCGAACCCACCATTTGGGGTGCAGCGAGTGCCACGCTGCTGTAGCTCCTGTCTCATAGAAAATGGTGTGGCAACCTAGAACAGAATTTAAAAAAAAAAGCAGTAAAAACGCTATCAGATGAGTAAGCCCAAACGTAACGTACCATCTTCAACTTTTTCACGCTCGTGTGTGACTCGATCAGCCTATAAACTTTGGTACGGACAGGAGTATGCACACACATATAAAACGACTTATACATATGCACACGGACACAGACATTTGCGTAAACTATGAACATCCTATCTAAACACAAGATAAAAAGCTATTTTGCATTTGAGAGAAAAATATTCCAACAGATACTTTTAGGGAAGGTACTACGATCTGTCAACAGACTCTGTTCCAAATCCATAGGGACCTTCTGTAAAAACAACAGCATCTAGGAGCGCAAGCGTGACCAAGGTCGACCAAAAATCACCCGCTAAATCATTTCATAACTTCTAGGCATTTGGCAAATACTTAAGAAGAATGGAGACAAGTAGCCATTCCAGGTTGAGAAGCTAAGAAGCTTTGTTCATTTAGATTCATTTGATTCAGTTCCATTGCGTCCATTGAAATGTATATGTTCCAGCTGATCTTGCAACAGAGCTAACTCTTCGAATGCACGTTGGGGCAATCAGCTAGTTCTACGGTTAACTCCTTTCTACTTTCTGGAAAGGATTTAGGATGTCCCATACGCTGACACAGTCTCAACCACGATCCTAAGTGATCTTTGCGCAGGAGAGTTGTTGCAGGCGGTCACCTCAACCGCGATGGCCATCGCCAGTTTCTACACGTACTCAGTAATTGCCACTTGAATATTTTTAAGGTCGCCACAAAACATACAAATAGCATTTTTTGAAAATAGATAGGGCCATTGGCAATGATAGACAAACAGTTTAATAAAATGAAACCGCTAGTGCGGGCGCGTTTGTCCGCGTATAATCTGCTGTTCACAGACAGAATTGAGCGATCGATTACATGTTTTAGCGGCAAGACATGAACACGACCTGCTCATTATCAATAATAAAAATCGGACTTTTTTTCTGTGTTTAGACATGTGTCTACTAGGTTTAGTGTTGTACTTGCCGACCAAGCAACTTCAAGAACTTCGAAGTGACTTCAGGTCAATATGTCCTTTCGAAGGCCCCAGGTCGATGGAAACCATACCACTGAAGCACTGTGAAGGTCTATTGTTTTCTTTATGTACATTATGTCGAAATGTATTGTATTCGACAATACCAAGCCTATGAGTTTAACACTAAAATGTTTTTGAAGCTTTTAAAGGAAACAGGGGTTATTAAACTCCGCCTAATTTACTCCTCAAATTGATACCCCTCGTGGTAACGCTGCAGCACAGCTGCAAAAGTCCGAACGCAAATATTTTCTGGTCAGGATTGAGCTCATAGCTATTATAAATATGATTCAATCGAGCCTAGGGCATTGATTTGTACCATACAACGAAGCGGTCAAGCATCGAGGCAGCTGGTATATAGTGGCGCTGGTGAGTGCAGAAATCAGTAGCGGAATTAGTTATGATTCGAAGAATAATTCGTCATGATTAACTGGCCTCTGCTTATCTATTACGTCCATTTCTGATAATAGGCGGAATATTTTTATTTTGACAGGATTGACCTGAAACGAAATACTGACCACTGGTTCCGTAGTTCACGTTATATTCGATGCGAGACGCTCTGGCTATGAAAACACAAACGCTGCCGATAGTTTTCTCCCTCGAGGCGGCCTCTTAGATAAACCTGATTTATGAATGCGGTAACTTAAAGGCCACTAAATTGGAGTAAGTGACCTTGAACTGTTTGAAAAATTACTAGGAAAGCTTTGCTATAGTACAAAAGAAGCAGACAGAGTGGCACCGTGTGTGAGAGACAGTGTGTGCTGATGCTCAGAACTTAACGTGCGGATGAGCATGACGCATAAGCTGAACGAGGATACAATAACGGAACGATTACCTTTACCGAGCTTCTCAATGAGGCTATAACACTGGGCAGTATTACTGAAACGAAGGACATGAGGAAGCTAAATTTCAGTACAAAGTACGGTCACAGTACGAGTAATCTTGTCATAACACTGAAATGGTATAAAAAATGGCTCTAGCCAAAAAAAAGATACTTGTCTACAAAATTGAAATGAATTAGTCATTGGCTATCAACGGATCTATCTACTATTCGACATCATACAGGCTGTAGGGGTTTGAGCTCCCACCTTCGTTAATGCGATTTTAATCTTTGAAGTAAAGATTTGAAGTAAACCCTCTAACAACACACAGCTCTGATACCAAGGTGAAAATTGATGTGAATATTTTAAAACAGTGTTAAACTACATATACGCAATTTTGATCAGTGACCAGAATTTCTAAGTAAAAAAAATTGTATTCTTGTAAATAAATTTAACATCATTAAGGAATTTGGGCAGAGGTCGAAATAGGTTAGTCTGATAATGTGAGATCTTGGCTATACGGCGGACGCATTAAGAAATCCTACCTCAGTTCCCTTAATTTTAGCATAAGATATGTATGGTCTGACGTTGTCAGGGTGGGAGACGATGTTTTTCATTGGTTTTTTTTAATAGCTTGTCGTGATCTTGGTATTTGCTATCGGATCAATCGTTTTCCCGAGTGGCAGGAACTCATAATGCATGATACATTGCTAGTTTTATGAAACGAATGAATAGCGTAACCTTCTTTGGTATCAGTCTGGGCTTTCCCACAAATTGTGGAGAACCTTCTCTTTATTTGCATATTATTATGTTATTGTTCATTACCCGTGACCAATCTCTTTGACAACGCCTTGCAGACTAAAATACGATTGAATAAAGTCTTTTGCGTCAACTCGTGTAACACCGAAGCTGTGTTTGGAGGCGGTTCGCTTCGTATGGTCAGAGCACTATTAAACGATGGGTGTACAGATTGTTGTCGATATCGTAGCTACTCACGCGTCAGTCGTACCCAGCTAAAGACCAGTAGAACTCAATATAATTAATCTATTTGATGTGACGTAAACGTTTGTACTGATGATAGCTTGGTCATCGTAGAAATTGGAGCACCTCGAGACGCACTTGCGGTATCTCAAAGGAGGTAATACCTAACACATGCATTTACATATATATGTATATATATGTGGGTATATATATATATACATATATATATATATATATATATACAACAAATTTATATCAGAATTGATAAATCTGTTTATACCTAAATGGTAGAGGGTTTTTTTTAGAGCCATACATTTATGTTTGTGTAATAGGGCAATAAAGTTGAATGAACTTGCTAGTATACGTTTAGCCTGTCAGTGTGGCCTAAAAATATACTTCAAATAATGCAGTCAGTAACAGAAGATGTTGGGTGTGGTCTACTAGACCATTTTTATGATCAGTCCTCTAAACGTATAAACGTACGTGTGAAAGACCCATCAAAACGTATTTTTGCGTTCTACTCTCGCTAGGAAATGTCGCATGTCGTAAAGTACATACAGCAAAATCAGGTTATAATTGTACAAGATGGCAACAAGCTTAAATCTATTAAGTCAAAAATAACCGTATGTTTGATTTGTATGTCGTCGGTTGTTGACTATACACTCGATGTTCGTTTAACAAGTCCGTATGGTCTCATAAATGTGCCAACGTGAAACATGCTTATGCTTGGTCGATGCATTTGTGTATTAAAGTATAGCCAAAGATCAACTGGTTGAAGCATCTTATTCGATTCCAGAATACGACAAAGCCGACGACTTCGTCAACGGGTGAGGTTTGAAACTGAGGATCGATCGATATCGAAAAACCAGGGAAAAGGGGAGTGCCAGACTAACGAAAACCGTACGCGGCTACGAGTGAATCGACTACACCTAAACGCCATTTAGTTCGAAGGTACCGTGTCTCATCCGCACACACGCGGATCAAGAATTCCTGCCAGGAAAGTGTGATCTTGAAGTTCGTTTCTTTTCTACTGATCATTTCCGAATTTTAGTTATTTACAAGTAAATATTAGTAAGGGAAGTCGCCAGTCGTAGATGTGATTAGCGCATGTCTCCTGCTTCATGTTGAGAGGTTCTTACGGATAAACATAGTTTACTTTGATTAATGTTTTGCACGGTTTTTCCCTTACGAACCCAATTACCTAACTACGAGAACGGTGTTTGACGCAATCGATTTCTGTCCAGGAATATCGAACTATGGCTGACAACGACGGCAATGACGCCCGCTTGGGGAAGATTCTCAAAAACATCTGTGAAATACACCGTCTGCAAGCCTCGCGGAAACGGATTTTAGATATGCGAAGCTCTGTAGCCGAGTCTCGAAAGCTCACTCAAGAAGCGCGGCGCCTTCTTCAAAATAAGAAGAAGTATGCCCAACTTTATGCTCGATTCGCTCATATTGGCGAAAAGCTTCAGCAAACGAGGAGAATGAGCCGAAAAAGCCAGTGCAGTCGAGGAAAGAAAAAGGATTCTGAAAATTTTCAATAAGACGCTTAAACGGATATTTTACTAGGGTCTCCTAAAATACATTACTCCTAAAAGAAATTCAGGTGAACAAGGAGTAACTTAAAATAAACATGATAACTAAAAAACAATCACATTCTAAAGAGTTTATGTGCACATCGGAACTGAATGAAGAAGGTTGGACCGAATTTCTAATAGTAAGTTGTCTACGTTTCGAAATTTTCACGAGGAATGTAGCGTATATCGCGAGCGGTACGAGCATTCGTATAAAATTATAATGATGGCCGACTGAATGTGTTCGTTATAACGGATTAATGCCTAATCCTGTTATTAATCTTCTTAGGAACTTAAAAAAGCTGCAGAGCTAGCCCATACTAGAGGTGGTACGTGTGAAAATATTTGTGTCATCAAAGAATCTGAGCATCACATCTTGCTTCGATCGTCGAGCACGTACTACTGGATTATTTCTTCAATAAGAAAGGTAGCTCGATGCACGCTCCAGATAAGCGACGTGCGCAAGCGCCATGGTGCATCTATGTGATGTTACTATTTTTTAAGTGGTAGTCGCCGGTGTTGCTTACGGTCTTTTTACCTTTCGACAGGATCTTAAGAGCGAACCAGATTGACTACCACAAGCTATACACGTCTGTTTTTAAGCACTCAATATGAGTGCTTAAAAACAGACGAACAAAATTCGCTCTCCACACAATGCTCGTTACGTTATTCCATTATGCGCTTTCCTATATGCGGCGCTATTTTGATGTAGTGGTAATGACGATGATGACAATAGGAATGCGGACAACTACAGAGATACGCTTATACGCAATGACGTTATATTGGGATGCATTAATTCCTATAGAGTACTACAGTTAATGCATTTTGATTTACCTGTTTCTTTAAACCTAAAACTAGGCCAGTGCAACAATAGAAGCCATAAACTCTGGTCATTATAAAGATGCCAATAGGTCCAAGTGCTCTCTCGGATCGTAGACATTGCAATCAGAAGCAACACAAATGCGCGAACACCCGTGTGAACTAAAGACGGATTGGTGGCAATCTACGAAGACTTCCAAGCCGGGTTGCCGAGTGCGCTGGTTATCCATACTTTTCAGTGCGCCGCATATGACATTGGACCCGTGCCATATATAGGCCAAAGCCGATCTAGTTCTGCAGATTGGATTCTCTCACCACTACGGCTGTCAAGTCGCCATAGTGTCTCCTTATGGCATATGGCCTAACGGTCGCAGCTGGTAATCGTATGGCCTCCGGCATAGTTCGAACTCTTGCCATCGCTCAGACATATCGTCCACCTTTGCCCCATTTCTATGCAGCTTCGAAGCTAGCTTTCTCGTCTCTTCGGGCCATCTTTCTTCATTTAGACCTTTATTCCCGCCAGCCTAACCCCTTCACGCATCGACAGACGTCAGGCCTGTCGTGCCTAATACTCATTAGCCCCCTGCCTTCTTAAAAGATCTACACAGACTAACAGCTGACGAACCAGCTCAATTGTTTACGGGAAAAAGCCATATAGTATTTAAGGACAAAGTGTACAATTTTGGAATAGCTGCTCGTAATAGGTAGTAATGCCACTCACGCCGAACCTATTTTAAGCAAGGGGTTGGTAATATTCTCAACTTTGTCCTTATTGATGCGATGTAAATAAATATTATGATAGTTACTGCTGTAATAAAGGTCTTCCTGCTCTAAATTAGCCAAAGTACGCGCACGTCCCTATCTCTTGGTAGATTTAATATAGACTTTTTTGGCCTAACCCTCCACAGAATTACTTACCCCCAAAGTGACTCTACAGTAATGCTGTTTTGCCGAACCGAGATGTGAAGGCCTCGTATGACCTAGGTACTGGAGCGGTGTTCCTGAGCATACCGAGTTGAAACCAAGCTCTTACTTCGAGTCAGGTCCTCATGAGTGATGACCGCTTAGGGAAGAAGGAAAAAAGCTTTGCTCTACATCTGTGAGTTCCTAATTGTAGAGTCTTCAGTGAGATATATCAGGTGACGCTATAATGTGAAGTGAGTGTAAGAGGACTGTTTTTTTTTTTACTTATATATAGTATACTACTTATATATATATATATATAAATAAAACGGCCTATACTGGCCATTTTTAAGAAATTAATTAAAATTAACGAAAGAAAGCTTGAACTACCGGGCTGACCTTCTCCTTCATAGCCGAATCAGCGATGGCGAAACACTCCCTAACTGTCAAGATCAAGCTCTTCTAAGCTACTCTTAAACTAAGGTTTTGATGAGCTTGCCGCAGTAATGAGTATTGCCCTAAATCTAGACTCACTTATTTATTCCGCAACTATTGCAGAGCGGATCTTCCAGAATCGTGCTAGTAATTTTGCTAAATCGTCCCTTTTGTAAAGTTACGTTAACTTTTTATGGTACAACAGTAGTTTTAGCTAAGCATAAACATCGAACGTTTCTGGGTATTGGTCGTTGTGCACTGTAATTCTTTTATTAACACGTGTTTATTTATGAGCATTCAAATTGGGTGGCCAGTTAACTAGAACTCAATCAAGCCTAACACAAAGATAGTTGCCTATTTTTTTTTTAGGAGCTTCGTTCTTTATCCGTCCCAAATTCGTGTCCGTTTGTAAATTTTACATTACATAACATTGATGCATACGTGTAGTTTTTCACCCCTTGTCGTGTGAGGTCGCTCAATTGAATAGAATAACGAGAAAAAATGTATTACCTGAATTAGCGTACTTGATCGACTGGATATTATCCCTTTTTTGGCATCTTGCCGTACGGATATTCGTTATATGTTTGAACCATCGCTCTCCCCAAATGACAATTGACCATTGCCAAAGCCCTTCTCTCAACAACTGCTTTTCGGGTGTGCCTGAAGACAAAAGCTATATGGGTTTAGATGCAATATTTGACCTAACAGAAGTTACAAAGTTCACGTGGTCATAAAATGTTTCAATGTAAATATATTGTAACCAAACCACTTATAGGTCCCTTTTGGTAAGAGCTAAAAGATTCACTGCATGCGTAATTAATTGAACGTCTACGTTGGACAACTTTTACAAATCGACCCGCGATAGCCCGTCAAAAGAACTAAATATAGTTAATCCACTAAAATGAAGCATGTACATGTGATCAGCCCGAATTGTATATATATATTACATATATATTACAGATAACCGACGCATGTCCGATATCGAATTCGTTCATTATTTAGCACGTGCCTTTAATGCCAATGCTGCTAGTAGTATCTATGTTTGAAACCTTTGGTTTTAGACATTTTGAAGACCTCGCAGGTCCCTTTAGAAAGGATTATCCACTAAACCGACCAGTAGGCAGACATTAGCAAGAGAATCAAGCTAGTCTATACACCTCAACTGTACCGCCAAACGAAAAGAATTATGGGTCTAGCTAAATGCGACAGTCGCCTTGGAAGCTCTAGATTCACCGAGGGCTACTAAAGGGAACCGAAAGTATCTGCCACAGTAGAAAGAAGCATCAACGCATCGAGAAACCTGTGCCATGCCAAGATAGAGACCCGGGACTAAATACGGTTTGGCGAGCGACTTCAAATGAAAACAAATCACCTCCGCGCTGAGGTAGAAAGAAAAGCTGAGGTATGGCCCCCATTAGTCCCTATAACATGGGCATAAGGGTAGGGAGCGTCTGGCTGAAAAGCTGAGGAGAAGCTTGCTACCGAACAGAGTTGTCCTCTTTTGTCCTTTGAATGGGTATCAGACCAGTTGGTAGTATAAATTTAGGGCACGCTGCAGATTTGTCGCACATTGGTGCATCATTGTCGATTAAGTTCAGTGGCAATGCTGGGGGTGCTGAGTTCTTCCGTGTGCTCTCCAAGCCGTCCTTTGTACTCTTGCTGGCGCCCGTCGCAACAGACATTCTGCCCTTTCACAAATCTGGTCATCGAGGTAAATGTTGCCCCATGCCTCCTAGCGATTTCGGATGACATTGCTTGCCGCGAAGAGCATCTAAAAAAAACGAAGACATAGAGGCACCCGGCGTGCTTGACCCTAACTTGACGTTACTCTTAGCAAACTTTATCAGATCTGCTGATCAAAGACGGATTACTACAAGAACAAATATGTTCGTATGGGTTTCCATCGATGTTCCACTATAGGGTCAGAACAAGATCATGATCTTAAGAAATTTATTGTTAGTTATCGATACACAGCGGCGAATATCGCTCATGTCTAGGTTTTTAACTCTCTGTAACCTTTCTGTTACCATATATTATAAACTTACGAGGCAAAAGAAATCTCAACAGCTTTTTACCCCCTGTACGTGACTCGTAGCATGCTGTCGCGTATTCCTATTAAATATAAAAACGCTGTTAGTTTTCCTATCTTTCATAAGGCCATCGACGTATCAAAACAGATAGAAGAAACTTTTCAACTACCTTCTGGAGTCTTACGCCCTTCTTTAATATTTTTGTTTTATATTATGTTATTGCATTGGCTTTGTCGAGTCGGTCGCATCGTCTATTGAATATTTAATCCAAGAGTGATGCTGGTTAACATGAAATAGAACACTGTGTTTGTTTCTAGCAAACAGTCTTATGTTTTCGCCACTTAAATTTAATATGGGCATCATACCGTAGATTTAATTGTTTCATATAAAACAGCCGGAACGTTTCTTTATTTAATCACGTATATCGTGTACGTATATATATGTATATAAGTGTATGTATATGTAAAAAGAACCTTCTTTATATATACGTACATTTTCAGCATAATAGTGAGCTTTTTATGTTATAGTACAACATT